AGGGGGGGAAATGCAAAGAATGGGGTATGTCGGGGCTTCTTCGCGACACATCTTTCAGTCTGTGCCATTCTATTCTGTCCCCATCGCAACACTCAGGAACATTCCAGGGCTTCTCATGTTGCAGGGCTCCTCTCTTCTGTCCCTCACCTACTCCCCTGGGGAATGAGAGAAACAATGGGGAGGTCTGTTTGGGGTCTCTCAGAGCACCAGCCAGTGTTCCCCACCTTGGTTCTGCCTCGCCCCCGACACATGATGTGGACACATGTCCCCTGCTCCTCTGGTACTGGCCACGTCACACTAGTGCTGTCCGAGCGAGCTCTCCGAGGACCTGCACCAAACTGGCCTCTTTTCCAAAACTCCAGCACAAACTGTCCTTTTAAGGAGGGAGAGTGGAGGTGGTGGCCAGGGTCAGGGAGCTCCCGGTGGGGTGAAGCCGGACAGCCCTGCATCTCATAGGTGAGGGCTCTGTCTGGAAATGCCACTCTTCTCTTGCCACCCTGCAAAGAACTACATTAAGAGCAGACCTAAAAGATCTGCCAGGACAGCCATTAAGAAGAGTCAGCGAATAAATCACAGCAGCTGCTGGCGAGGGAATTTAAAGGCCTCAGAAATCACAGTGCATGGGCCTGGGTAGGAACAATTGATCAATATCAAATAATCATCCAGTGGCAGATTTGGTTACAAGGAAGAAACAAAAGGTCAGAATGTCCTTCCTGGAGCAGTGGAGAGGACATGATCCAGGGTGACAGGTTTCAGGCACACTGGACAGAAGAAAATCCCGAGGAAGCCCCGTTTTTGAGAATGCAGAAGCGCTTTCTGCTGGGAATGTTTAAGCCCCACATTTCCAGTTGAAGTCCTCCTAATCTGTTCACTGTCGAGAAAATGAAATTAGACTTCATTGAGACCGCATTTGGCCTAATGATGTTTTCTGACTCCTGGGGCCAAAACATAGTCCCAAAAGAACAGGAATTGCAAAGTGAGATTAGATATCAGGGAGAATTTGTGATCCCCTGGGTTGTAAAACACCAGAAACGTCTCATGGAGGGACGGTTTGGGTTTCACTTCTAGAAACTCTATGAAGTAGTTCAACCCCCTTAACCGGAGACCAGTTCAGATTATGCTGCTGTGGGGCCTCCTGATCAGCTCAGTGGTGATTTAGGGAGAACTAGGGAAGATGTGAAAATGTTGTATCCACTATGTCTAGCACCCCATTTCACAGCCTTGACGTCATCAGTATTAGGGGCCAACTAGATCATTCTTTGCTTTGTAGGGTGCTGAGCAGCATCCCAGGCCTCTACCCCCTGGTGGACAGTCACACCCCTGACCCACCTACCCCCTCCATCCCCCCAGGTATGACAACCCAAAACGTTTCCAGACTTTGCCACATGTCCCTGTGGGGGCAGGGGTGCAGAATCTCCCCACCCCCACTGAGAACCACTGCTCTAAGATGACCACCTGGGACACACTGGTCAACAAGCTGTGTCATTGCCATGTTCTCAGTTCATACTAAAGTGTAAAAGTCAAAAGACCAGACACTTGGGACTCTGTCTTTGGGAAGCACCGACAAGGCACTGAGAGAAGCCATCGCTGCCTGTCAGTGTCCATTCCCGTTCCGCAAAAGCTCTAGAGGTTTGTTCTTCTCTTCCTTCAGTGTGTGTGAAGCCCAAACCTGGCTGAGCTGGGCCTTGGGCTGGGTGGGTGGCGGTGGGGGGTCTTGGCCAGTGGACCTGCAGAGGATGTGAGTCCAGCGTGGTGCCTCCTGGGAGCAGGGCTCTTGTCACACACCTGGTCGTGTGTGTGAGCGCAGACTTCCCCTTAGAATCGCAGGCTGTGCGACAGTGTACATCACCAAAGTGACAGCAACAGCGGGGACTAATTTAATTCCATTTTCCTGATACATCATTGCTGCAGGGAAAAATAAATTTCTCTTTCTCAGACAAAAACGATTTGAATCATGCCATGCTCTGGGGAAACGAGGGGCTTGGAGGTCTGTTAGTGGGTCTGGGATATTTCTATAGTGGGTCGTGGAACTTCTGCAAAGGCTTCTGCACCTGGCCTGGAAGTCGCTAGGCCTGGAAGGCCTCCCTTCCAGACTCAGGAGAGTCGCATAAAGCGCTTTGGCCATCTTGGCCTAAATGGGCGTGTTTTAGGGCTTCTCGTTGGAAAAGGGAACTGGTTATAGTCCTGCATGATTCGGTGGATTAAACGGCTAAAATTAAGAAGCTGGAGTCTGGAGTCCTGACCCTTGACACACAGGAAAAGTCTCAGCATGAGTGGAAAATTGCCAGTGTTTTTCATCTTCCTTCCAGAAAATGTTGTTGCTTAGGAATGTGGTTCTTCTGGGAGGCTTTTAAAATAATGTAGGGAATGACGTGAAGGGAGAGAACTTGGCTCCAGAGGGCTATGCAGGGAACGCAGCGAATTCTGGCGGGGTGCAGTGTACCTAGGTCCCCTGCCCTGGAGAGGGAAATAGAGATTGGGTCCTGAGGGACGTAGGAGACACACGCACTTTTTCTAAGCTAAATCATGCTGAGCTTACTTTGGGGGAGACGCTACAATCCTGTTTCAGTGCATTCAAAGCAGAAGAAAGCCACTTGGCGGTGAGCAGAAGCCACATCTTCCTCCACTGCCCCTGGCGTGTTGCTCTGGGACTGGGAGCTTGAAAGGAGGGAAGTTTTACTCAGGACCATTTCCTGCAAGCAGACCCAGTGCAGGTGCCCCCTCTCCGTGTGAACCCCGGTTGCATTCCAGCTTCAGTGACCCGTAGCAGAAATCACAGGCAAAGCTATAAAGCCCCCTGTGGGAAGCAGCCCTGTCTTTGGAGCTGTGTCACTGGAAGGTAAACGAGCAGTTGCTGCAGAGATGATTTTATAGGAGAAATTCTGCATTAGCGCAGCGAGAGATTTGGCCTGTGGATTATAAACCTGCTGGGCCTCGCGCCTCCCAGCCCACCCAAGGCAGCAGCCTTTGCCTGACACTCCCCTGACTTCACCCCACTTCAGGGGAGCTTCCATCTCCCCATTTGTTTTCGCCTTGATAAGCCACCCAGAGCTTTGGGTTAGGCCTGGCCAGTCATTGAAAGTACATATTTGTCTTTTTCAAAGCAGGGCCTGGCGACTGTCAGAAAGAAGAGAAACAATTAGAGAAGACATCCAGCTTCCACCATCTTTTCCTGGCTCTGCTTGTCCCTTAAATTCCATGTCTGAGAGGAATTGGAGTTGGGGTTCTATGAGCTTGATTCCCGCCTCCACTCTCCCCCCACCCCCTCCCAGTTTTCTCCGCTCGGAATTCAAAACTGCTTCTTGATGTTCTAATTGCCAACATGCAGCCCTCAGGAGCTGAGAGTGTGCGTCATCTCTCAGCTCCGAATGACTGTTAGACACAGGCATCCCAGACACGGAGCCGAGGACACCAGAATGAGAGACACAAAATGGGAGCATCTGGAAAGATAGAAAACCCCAGGGCATCGTGCTGGCGGGGAAATAAAATCCTGCAGACACAGTGAAGGGATATATCATACTACATATTTAAGTGTAATATAAGGAATTCTCTGGGCCGGCTTTAGGCTGTAGAATTTGCCTCTGAAGGAAAACAAAACACAACACAACAAAACTTAATTTGTACTTGGTTTACAAAAGATCTGGGGGACCTGTGCCCTTGGGCTTTCCTTGTTTTGAGAATTTATTTTCTGCCAGTGCTGCCCATCTCCCTGCTCCCTGGGATGGTTTTCATTGTGTTCGTTTCCTAGGGCGGCCACGAACTGGGTGGCTTGAAACACACCGAGGAGTTCACTGTTCTGGAGGCCAGAGTCTGAAGCCAAGATGATGGCTGCGTTTCCTTGTGGGGCTCCGAGGGAGGGTCTGTTCGGTGCCTCTTTCCCCAATTCTGGGGCGGCCACCCTCAGAGCTCCTGGGCCTGTGGCCGGCCAGCCAGTCTCGGCCCCACCTTCCTTCAGGGGTCCTGTCCCTCTGTGTTTCACATCTCCAGTCCTTTCTTTTATAAAGATGCCTGTGATTGGAGTCTGGGCCCACCCTCAGTCCAGGCTGACTTTATCTTGAGATCCTTAACTCCATCTGCAGAAATCCTATTTCCAAATAAGGCTACATTCACAGGTGCCAGGGTCTAGGACATGGATAGATATATCTTTATTTATTTTTTTTTTTTTGAAGAAAAAAAATTTTTTAAAGATTTATTTATCTATGCATGCAAGAGCTGGGTGTAGGCCAGAGGTGCAGAGGGTAGAATGGGATAAGAGGATTCACCAGAGACAGAGTGGGGAGCAGAACAGGTGGATCCACTGAAATACACTATTGAGGGGAGCAGCAGGCAAGACAGGAGAGGTCTGCTGCGCTGTGCGGGTCAGCTCCCTGGCTGGGGATCGAACTCGTGCTGCAGTGGCTGCTGATAGCCTCAAGTGCTGAGACTTAGCCCCTGTGCCACCAGAGACACCCTATATCTCTTTAGAGGCACACGCATCAACCTGCTGCAGTCTTCATGGGGCTGTATTTCATCCTTCCTATCTCAAAGTTGCTACTCCATTGCTTTAGTTCATTTTGGAAAGTTTGCTGACATGGACTGTTAAGCTGACACCTGGTTCTGACATCTGCCACTGTCTCCCCACTCGCCCCCAACCCACCTATACCCATATTCAGGCTTAAACATCCCTTTATACCATTTCCACTATATCACCCTGAGAAACAAGGGTCAGGCTGGTCCAAGCCCCCAAGTAGTGCCTCCCAGACCCTGAATTCTCATGTCCTTGCAAATCAAAGAGAACAAGCTTACAATCTTACGAGGTCCCCCTCAACTAGACTGTACCCTGCCTTCACGCATTTCAAGAGCACATGAACAGGTGCAGAAAGCAGTTAACTATGGTAACGACCAAAGAGACAGGAAGGGATGCCCCAGAGTCAATTTATCCAGAATGATGTGGTTGCACGATGAACCTCTGAACAGACTCTAATTTTAGTCTTTTTCTCTCTCGCTCTCTTTCCCCTTAGCAAACTGCCTAGTTGGGCTAGAGCTGTTGTTCCCAAAATATTTTATGTCACAGAGAAGGCTTGGAACTACTACCCCTACACGATTACAGGTAAGTTCTTGGTGCGACCAGTGTGTTACTTGTGCGATGTGAAGATAGAGCAGTGGTGGGGGTCCCACTGACTTGGGGTGGATGACCCAGGCAGGGATGTGTGGGGTCATTATATGTCCCTCACCCTTTGCCTTCATCCTGTAGGTCTTCTCACAGGAAGTAGGTGGTAGGGTTTGAGCTAAACCCTTCCATCTTCCTTCTTAAAATGATATAGCTTATGCGAAAAGGAATTGAAGCTCTTTTTGGTGACATTTTTACAGTCTACTTTATTCTTATTTCTCCCTGTTTCCTCAATGTTCCCCATGTGATTTTGGGGTGTGGTTTGTTAATAAATAAGTAATTAATCTGATTTGTTTATTTCACAGTTCCCCAACCAAAAAAAAAACAGTCAACCAATCTTGACTATAATTTGTGTAGATTCTGCTGGGTCTCTCTATAGCAAACCACTTCCTTTGCAATTGTATAATAGAAACATCTTCAAGGACCCTTTTCTACTCACTTGTGGGGTGATAGTAACCTATCTGCTGGGACTGAACTAGAAATAGTGGCCCCCCCCAAATTCAAGATCCCACTTGAAAATCATATCAAGTTCTTATTGGTTACAAAAGCTGTTTCTCCACTTAAAAGATTTCCTTTGTGGTTAATGAAATGCTCTACTGAAATGATTAGCCTTTAATTCTGCTTTTATAATGTCAACTCTTTGGGTTTAATTAGCCACAAGCCTATATGCTAAATTGAATCTTGTCTGACATCCCTTATCAGCCCAACCACAGAAATAGCCTATGAAAGAGTTTCAAGAGCAAACAGGGAGACAGTCACCATTTACGAAGTTTAATTTTGGGGCGATTTCTCTACCGCATTTTTAATAATTATAATTTGCCACTATTTGTTAATTTTGTGGTTTTCCATTGTATCTGAGCATGATCTCAATCATAATTTTGTCTCTTTTTTTTCTTTTCCATCTTGACCAAATGAACATCTGAAACTAGAATACACAGTAAGTTTCATTTAATCCTTTTTATATATTCAGCCTAAGGTCAGTGGGGTAATTGGCACGTACCTTGTACTTTTCATCTTATCAATATAATAAAAAAAAATAGAGGGGTAATTTAGAATCAGAAATATTTAAATTAGGCTATTACACAGTTATATATAATGCAATAACTTGAATGTTCTCATTTGTTCAAGAATATGAAGGTTAATTTAAAATGCCTTGATAGTCACTTTACATAATTAACTTTTGCTTATATTTTAGATAGCTTGATCATTCACTGTAATAGAAAAATAGTTTCTAGAAATGTGGTATTAAAGAGATGATGGTCTTTATCCATGGGAGGTTGTGCTAAGACTGGTAGGCTGTGGCCTGATCCTTTCCTGGAGAACCTTAAAACGGGGCAGGCCTCCTTGCAAATTGTTTTACTCAGAGCTCTGGGATGGACATTATCAGTGCCTTGAGTCCCAAGAACCTATTGAGTCATCAACATAAAACTGAAAACATAGGAGGGGAGGAGAAAAGAATCTTATAATATCATTGTGTTGTGGGGTCTTCATTTGATCATTTTCCCAACAGCCAGCAGAGCAAGCTGTGGTAACAAGAAAAGGGTTAACTGAGCTGGACTGGAGTTGAGTTTTTGGTCTCAATCAAAACAAGCAAAGCAAAGAGAGATACAGTAAGAGAGAAATGAAAGAAAATGATTCATCATGTCCTTTGTGTGCGCATGTAACCTCACATATAGTGGGTGAACAATTAGTAGTTACTGAATCACAGAATGAATTCATGAGTCATAGGCACAGTCCCAACAGATCCAGTGCAAGTGTCACTGGCTTTGGAATGAGAAAGTCTCAGGTGGCCTCTGACCCTGCCACTGACTTACTAGCTGAAGTTCTTAGGCATGTGACCCCCTCCCTGGATTCCAGTTCTTGAGTTCATGCTGGTTCTTGACTGTATTCTCAACTGTCCTTTGCAATATTAAAAAAATGGAATAGTACTTTTCATAAAAATGCTTCAAAGTTTTCCATAAAACAAAATGTATTCCACTCAAAGGATGGTTGGTAATGATGTCCCTCAATGTTGGGTGTTAACTATCTTTCTTTGATAACATGATAGAAATATATTTGAATATATTTAAAAATAAATGACATTTCTATATATAGAAATAAGTGTCATTTCTCCTCATGTAAAAAAAAAAAAAAGCCCAATTCTATGGTAAAATACACATTTTACATTTTAGAAGCCAGGGAACTGTTACTCTGAAACAGTTTGACTTGTCTGAGCCTAAATCTCTTTACCTCTAAACCTGGGATCATTCCTCTCTCAGCTGTTAGTGGCGGACCCACTGAGCTCACGCAGGGGTTGGAGTACTTTTTCTGTAAAGGGTCATATGGTAAATATTTTCCACTTGGTGGGCCAAGCAGTCTTTGTGACTTTGAAAGCAGCCACAGACAACAAAGAAAGATGTTGGCACGGTTTTACTGGCCCAGGCAGCCAGCCAGATTTGGCCCCCAGGCTGTGGTTTGCCAGCCCCTGATATAATGTATAGAAAGCTGTTAGCACATTGTCTGGCAATTAAGTGGTTCCCCACCAACACTAACCCCCAGTGCCTCTGCCTCTGGCAATTGCACACTTCCCAAGATAAAGACTTTGGAAGCTGGTGAATACTGCCTCCATTAGCATCTGGGCAAATTACTTCCCATCCAGCCTCCCTTTCCTCAACCTAAGTGGGGAAAATGTAATAACTATCTCATAAGGGTGATATGAAGATTATATTAAATAATCTGCATAAAATCTTAGCTTAGTGCATAGTAAGTGCCCAGTAAATGTTTGTCATTAGTATTTATTGTGCAATGCTGGAAGCTGCCATCATTAATAGAAATAAATATTTATATATTATATCACAGTGCCCTTCAATGCAGACTGGGCTCCAGTTACTAGACCATAAAGTACTAGTGGTCTAGGAGATTATTTGGTTTTATTTATGTCCATGTCTCTAAAAGCTTGTGTTTGGACCTTTCATTTGAAATATGATCGATAGTTAGACACACAGAGAACCCTGTCCCTATAACTACGCAAAGGCAGCTATTTGCCTAGTGAGCCTCAGATTTAGGTCACCTTGACTCGACCCAAACTGATGGCCTTTATTCTCCATAAGCTCGTGACAGTGTCATAAAATGTAGGGATGATTCATAGCAAATTGAAGCCTGGAAAATGTTTAATAATATTGGGTTTGTTTTGAAGAATACGTATGAAGTACTGAGGTTCTGGGGGCAAAATGAAGCCATAGTTCCTCACAGAGCCTTCCCCACAGGGACACACATGGTCAGGATCCCTGCTGTGACAACCTCTCTGGGCAGCTCGGTGACTGTACCACCTCTGTGTGGCCATGTTGGATTTTGGGGGAACTCGTGGCCTTTCCTTCTGCCCAGCCTCTGCCTCACGATACTCCTGCAGATCTGATCACACCATTCAGACTTTTAAAAGACACAAAATATTTTATTTCTGTTTGAAAATAGTTGGGAACAAAACAAAGAATTGACATATGAATAGTCAAATCTGCATCCCTACTGTTTGACTTTATTACTTGATTTCTTCGAGGCCCTCATTTGGGGGAGGGGGTTGTTTGTTAATTGCTCCCTAATATCCAGTCCTTGGGATGGTTTCTTAGGGCTGCCCTAGTGAAGCAGCACAAACCAGGGTGGCTTGAAACCAGAGAATCCTATTTGCTGGTAGTCCTGGATCTAGAAGTCTTGCCGGCAGGCCCTGCTGGGGAGTGGGGGCAAGGTGGGGTGTTGGGGGGGTGAAGTAGGGGGGTGTGGAGAGGGGAAGAGGTAGGAATTCTTTTCCTCCTTTGTCTTGTGGCAGCACAACTGATCCCTGCCTCCATTTTGACATGTTGTCTTCCTTCCACATGTGTCCATGCCTTCCCATAGATTCCTTTTTGCTATATCTCTCCTCTTCTTAGAAGAATACCAGTCAAATTAGATTAACAATTACCCTGTTCCAATATGATCTAATATAACAAGTCACCTCTCAACAACCCTCATTCCAAATAAGGTCATATTCTGAAGAACTGAGGTTAGGACTTCAAGATAAATGGGGGGGTGGGGGAGTGGAGAGGGAGACACGGGAAACAACACAATCTAACCCATGATACCATCTTTCAATTTTAGGCTAACAGTCATTAAGTACCAACAAGGTGTAAAGCATCATGCTCCCTTGAAGGCTTCATTAACAACAACTCAGCCCTCTGGGGAGTCACAGTCTGATGGGAAATAGCTAGACATTCCAGTCAAAACTTGGGAGTCAAGAGCAAGTCATGATTTTTTCTGGAGGCAAGATGGGACAGGCCACCACCCAGGCCAGGGGACACCGGACCTGCCCATTAAGCTGGATGAGCAGGCTGACAGCAGAAGTTCAGACAGAGGGCAGAATGAATGGCACCATGGAGTCTGGCCAAGCAAGCAATTCAACATGAAAGGGAAGGCCCTGATCTCTGGATCAAGGCCTTGAACTTCAGGGACAGAGTTCTAGTCTTCTGTGTAGCATCTTACATAGACTGCTTGATCATGATGTGCCGGGGTGGAAAAGTGGCCCATTTTAGCAAGTAAAATACAGACTGCCCCGTAAAATCTGGATTTTCAGATTAACAGCTAATAGTTTTTAGTACAACTATATCCTGAATATTTCATGGGCTAGTCATACACTGAAAGATTATTCATCTCTTATTTCATCCAGTCACCCTACGGGGTAAGGGAGGGGGGGACCTCAGTACTTAATACATATTCTTAAAAACAAACACAATATCATTAATATCAGAGACACCTGTATAAAAATCAAGTGACGAGAACAGGGGCACATGGGTGGGTCAAGGGAAAGAGAATTGCGTAACTCGGGAATCTGTCCTGCAATTGACACGCTCTGTTAACATCAGCTCAATCAAATGACCTGTCAGAATAGGAGGTGAAATGGACTAGAGAGTTGGGTAGAAAACCAGTGACATAATTGTCAGTATTTCAAGGAAGATTGGTGCCAAGTGTTATAGCTGAAGCTCAAACAAAGTTGAAGAAAGGAGCGAGAAATCAGCCAGGGAGCAATGTGGGGATATGTCCTAGAGAAAGTGGGATTTGGGCTGGGAGAGAAATCAGCCTGGGAGAAATATGGGGCTATATCTTAGAGAACGTGGGATTTGGGCTGGACCTTAGGGACAGTAGAACTCCTACCTGCAACGCACATTAGCTTTGTCTGAGTCATCTTGAGTTGCGTCAATTGGGTGGTTTGAGCAATAGACATTTATCTCTCACGGTTCTGGAGGCTGCGGAGTCCATGCCCAAGGTAGCATCTGATTCACTTCCTGGAGAGGCCCTCTTCCTGGTTTGCAGACATCTGCTTGCTTGCTGTGTCCTCCCATGGCAGGGAAAGAGCAACCAGCTCTCTGGTCTCTTCGCATAAGGACATTAATCCTATGCTGAGGACCCACCCTCGTGACCTCATCTAGACTTAATCACCTCCCAAAGGCCCACCTAGAAATGCCATCACAGTGGGTGTGAGGCTTCAATATATGATTAGGGTGAGGGTATAATTCCACCCACAGTTTGCTCATTCCAGGCCTTCTGGGCAGGTGCTATCAGAGATTCTGGCCACCCGGACAGGCGGAGACCAGGTCGTAGCAGCTTTCAGTGTCAGGCAAGGTCTGGATTTAGTTCTCCATAGGGAAGCTACATTGTTCCTGGCTACTCCTCTTTTATTTTCCATCCCAAATATAGGACAGCTTTTCTTTCCATCTCTGCAGTGACCGGGGCATCCGTTTTTCTCTCTGGATGCAGGTGCACTCTTGGGCCTGCAGTGTTCATTTTAAAGCTGCCTCCCTCCCCTCCACTCTGCACTCAGCTGTGTTTGCACCCCCTCTGCCCCCCATAGCCCCAGGGTCAGAGCCCACTCTTCTCCCTGACTACGGGGTCTGCTCCCAGAATTTCAGACAGATGCTTTCAGTCTCTCCATCT